AAATGTAAAATTTGCAGGCATAGAAAAGAGATTATAGGAAAAAAAGGATCCATCTACGGTATGCAAATGTTTTTGTTGGCTGGGTACAAGAATGCTTCTTAACATCCAATACCGGCTTTGTCTCTGACCTCTACAGATGATACATTGATGACTGCATCAGTGCCGCCACATGCTCTAACGACCAACTAGAGCATTTCCTGCAACATTTTCACTAACTTCCACCCATCCCTTAAGTATACAGTTAAAATATCTTCCATTGACATTCCATTTCTGGACATACAGTAAACGTCTCCATTAACCATCCACAACTCCCTACTTCTGTCTATTACAAACCCAATGATTAATACAGTAAATATTAAAAACTTCCTCGCTTTTTCACAGTTCCTCAGGCTCCAGCACTATGCAGTGATGACATGGACTTCCATAAACCCTCATTCATTCTTTTTTCATTGACAGAGGATACCCAACATGAATTGTTGACAGGAACCTCATCTGAACTAAAAATAGCCCTCGGATCATCAACCCAAATATGAACTCCCAACGGATTCACAACTACATTTCATTGGTGCTTCCCTACCACCACAACAGCTTTTCTATTCCCAGGACCATTAATGACAACTTACCCATCTTATAAGATGATCCCTCTACTGCAACCTTCATGTGCACACAGAGAGGTTTCAGGACTCCTATTGCAGAAAGACATCTAAAACAAAAACCCTCTTTCCTGACTGCCCCATCATCTTGTTTTACTGACTATCTAATCTACACAACCTTCGTGTTCACAGCTCTTAGCTGCCGATAACAATCATCCACACCAGGCACTTTCCTCTGCAACACAACTCGTTTTCTCACCTGCAGTATATGCAATATCACACACATTCAAGGCAATATCATATCAATATCACACATTAATATCATCATCAATGTCATACAATATCATACATATCATGTATTTCCAGCAACCTAATTTACTGCATCTCATATAGGAATGCTCAGCTATTTACATTGCTGAGATTGTGAGACAGGACGTAGACTGGCACACCATTTCAGGGAACATGTCAAAGCTCTCAAAACCGATAGTTCCCCATTTCACCTCTAACAGCCATGATCTTTCTAATCTCTCCATATGTGTCCTCACAGAGGAGTTTCAGAACTCCTGTTGAAGAAATATGTGTAAAACCAATATTATCCTTCAACTTGGATCACACCTTCACCTTTCCTTAACAACAGACTCTTCTCCTTCTCAATTCTCTCCATTCATTTGTAGATTTCGGCTTTCCACACCTCTCCATTTCCTGTTCTCCCTTAGTTTGGATACTTATTCTTACCTGCTTTATTCCCATTTCCTCCTCTGGTCCCAGACTCTTCTTATCTACTCTTACATACTGTGTCTTTTGTTGTCCTAAGCTTTATTTATTACTTTAACTCTCTCACTCACAGCCAAAGAAGTCTCCACAGGAAAAGTGTTTTTTTACCTTTCAGCAAGGGATGAACCTGTTCCTTTGCAGTCTATGCATACTGATGCAGTTCCCTGCTTGAACATTTTCCATAAAAAAGATTGCACCGTAGAAAATTGAAGATAAAGCTTGAGAGCTACGAGTGAAAACCTTTTTTAATCTTCCTTTTTATAACTCATTGTCCAGTGAATGTGCTGATGCTGTATTTCAGCCAGGTATAGCCTTCATTTATCAATATTAATTTCGTTACAGTTTTTCAAGGAAACTGAAAAACACGTAATGTTTCTGAAATGTCATTCTAACACTTAACCCATTTTGAATGACACTGCACACTGCACATTTTGAACTGTTACTCTATTTAGTCAATCCAGCGATGACTTATGTATTCTCTCTTTGTGCAGGTGAGAAGGATATTGTGCAGTGGTTCTGCTGTGCAGGGAGTCTGGCTTTTTGGGAAACAGAAGATGATCCTTGGAAAGAACATGCCAAATGGTTTCCAGAGTAAGAAGAAATAATCCCTGTACACATTGGAAAGCACCTTGTTTACTTTAGAAGACAAAAAAATCTAAAAAAATGAGCAAATTAAAAAAATAAAAATATAAGGTCAAGGGGGGCAGCATGGTGGTGTGGTGGTTAGCATTTCTGCCGTGCAGCACTGGAGCCCTGGGTTCAGTTCCTGGGCTGCTATCCGCATGGAATTTGTACATTCATCCTGTGTTCACATGGGTTCACAAAGTTCTTGCTCCTGGATGAGAGGCTTTATTAAATGCATACAAGGAACATCACAATAGTACGGATGTTCAGAGAATACAAAGCAAGCAGTTACCTTTATACAGCTCGGTAACGTCAAGATTTCCATGGTTACAAAGAATTTGACAGGGTATATGGTTAAGATCATGTTCAGAACAATCAGCTATTAAAAGAAGTTTTTAGTTAGCTGACTGACCAGAATTCCAGAGATCACTGTCACGGAAGCCGGGTCAGACTCCCATGGGGTTTGTTGTAAAGGCCCTATGCGTGACGGTATAATCCAGAACAGACTGGAAAACGGACCTCAGGAAAAGTCACAGCAGGGTTAGTTCAGGTTGACAGATAGGGGGCAGTAATCCAGTGCTCGAGGGAAAAGCGCAGGCAACCAATCCAGGCAAGTCCAAAACAGGAGGTCAGGGTGCAGTCCGAAATTCAAAAGCTGGGAGATCCATCCAAGACAAAGACAGTTGAAAACCAGGGAAGGGTGAACTAGGACCAGGAACATGAGCCCCAGGCTCAGAGGCCAGAAGTCAGGGGATAAGGCCAATGTCCTCAATGTACTCCTGAGCCTAGTGATCGGCGGGCCTTCAGACGTCCATAATTTAATGCTGAGCCCAGAACTATGGAGACGCCAGGCTTACATAACAAAAAAGGGAGGAAATACAGCTTACAGTACTAAACTAAAATCAATACAAAAAAGGTAGGAGCGTCCTCTAGAGGAGGGATGACGACCGTGACAATCACGGTGCCTTCCCTCCCTTACAGCCTTGAGATAAGCTAAAGTTTCAAAGATAAACAAAATTCCACAGGATTAACAAAAAGTTTTATCAAGTCCAAAGACTTACAGGATGGTTAGTTGGCCTTGTGAGAAAATTGTCCCTTGTGTGAGTGCATCCGTGTTTATGTCTGTGTCTACCCTGTGATTGACTGGCAACCCCACACCTTGTGTCCATTGTGTATCCCTGCCTTGCGCCTGTTACTTGCTGTGATAGGCTCAGGCACCCCTGCTAACCTGCATTGGATAAAGAGGTACTGAAATCCTGAGGGTGGGGGTTGGGGTTGCGCACTGAAAGCTCAGGTTAGAGTTACCTACAAAACAAATACTTTAGTTTGTACTTTACAGAGATTATAGTGGTACCGTAGCCAGTCTGAGTGGTTCAGCATCCAGCTCATGATCTGCCAAGCTGAAACATCAGAATGTGAGCCACAGTCTGTTGGACCTCCAGAGTTCCTTAGTTATTGCAAAAGCACACAGGATATTAGCTTATCCTGTCTCACTATAATACTGTTCTCTCAGATTTGCTGTTCTAACTTTGACAAAAAGTGCAAAACATTTATTTTCCTTTTAAGCTATGAAGCTTTCCATTCTGTTGTACAAGAAATGCATAAAGGAATGAAATGGAACCAAGATATTTTGGCATGATTTCTTCATGCACCATATGAGTGACAATAATGATGTTTGCTGAGGGGACATGTTTTTAATGTTGTCAAGAAATTGATCCAACTCTGTCTTTAATGCTGAAAGCAGACTCCAACCACCTTACTGTACTTCTAATACTAGACATTTATTTCCCAATTTGATATCAGTCAGCTACTTTGACTTGTCTTCTCCTCAGTTTGTGTCATTTTGTGTCATTTATGAAAGATGCACATATCTGCGTGGCAAGAAATCGAGTCAGGAAATTGCAAAATATGCAGAGAGCTACAATGGATTTCCAGGTGTCACGGTAAAGGATTCTTAACTTACTTTCCATTTATTTGAACTGTGATTGTACAGTACTTCCACTGTTATATTTTGTTTTAAAAGCAGTTGCACTATAGCTGAGAGGAGTATTGTAACCTAATAATGTGCTGCACAAATGGTTTTCCAGGCTACACATTACTTCTCAGATTATTGGAAGGATGATGAAAAGCTGATCCAAGCCTCCAAAGCATCAGGAAAATGCCACTATCTAACTTATTGTATAATCCAGTGTGGAATATCCATTATGATTCAGACAGACTCATTGTTTAATCATTTGAAATCACTCACTTGTTGCTAGGTCTCACCTCTTGGGAATCCAGCATGTCCATATTCCCATTAAATACACACACTCTGAGCTGTACAAGTCACATGTCACCCAGCATTTCTTAGTGGTCACTGTTCCGCATCATGGTGAGGAAACCCCCGGGGGACCCAAGCTTTCTCAATGACAGTGATACTTGGAAAACTGTGGACTGACACTTCTGGTATCTGACCAGAAATCTGGTCAAAGTTGTCTAACGGCATGGCCTTGGGCTCAAACTATTAGTCTGGATCTGAGTGATTCATCAGCTCTTTGGGCAGATGTGCTTAATGGATACATTGCTTGGTCCGTTGCTTTAAATCTTTGTTCCTAGCACTGTAGAACACTTGCAACTTGTAAACAATATTGTTTTTTTCTCTCATTA